TAATGATGCGCTACGTGCTGTGTATCCTCGCTCTCCTGCTCTCATGTGCGTGTGTGCACGTCCTCGCTGAAGAAGTGCCTGCCGCCGATCTTTCCGACCAAGTCCCTGATACGGAGAGTGAGACAAAGATTCTTCTTACTCCTACAGATGGCAAATGCCCTGATGGTACTGAACTTCCTGACGGTAAAATTTGCCCTGCCACTTCTGCGGGTCCACCACCACCTCCTCCTCCTCCACCTCCTCTTCCTGGTGCTAAAGCTAATTCTTCTGATCGTTGTCCTGCAGGTCACACTCCTTCTAATGATGAAACTTGTAAACCTGCCTCTCCTGCTGGTGTTTCTCCTTCTCCACCTGTTGGTGGTGGTAAAGATTGTACTTCAGAGAAGACTGATCCTCCGTGCTCCACTAGCGGTAGGGAACATGAAGATGCTCGTGCTGATGATTGTGTGACATCTTCTGATAGGGAAAGTTGCCCTGACAATGATGGTGACACTCAAGAGCAGTGCCCTCCCACTTCTGGTAAAATTTGTCCACCAACACCAACAGCCCATGTTCCTGAACAGCCTGTTAAGGGTCCTGGTGAAATTGGTAACAATCAACAAGACCTCAACAGTGAAAATAGTTTACCTGCTGCTGATGGTCATGGTAATGGTGCCCCCGGTAATAAAGCTGATGCTGGTTCTGCTGCGGGTACTGGTGGTGTTGCTGATGGTCGTACTTCCACTTCTGAAGCTGCTACTCCCGCTGCACCTGCACCTGCTGCTTCTACTGCAGGGAACAGTGATGCTCCTTCAGAAAATCCTCAACATGCAAACAATGAGCCACGTGAAACTGCACCATCACCAACCACACCTTCTTCCCGCAGCTCAGCCACAGCAAGTGATGGTGGTTCAAATCCTGCATCAACTGAGAATGATAATACACCTTCAGGGAGTGAATCAACAAACAACCAAGAGGGTGTGGCAAGTAATACAGATACAACCACCACCACCACAACAACAACCACAACACTTCCTCCTGAACTCACAAACAACAAGAAGGGTGATGCAGACAGCAGCAGCAGTATCAGCAGTTCTGTGTGGGTGCGTGTACCGCTACTGATTGTGGTTACACTGGCCTGTATTCTTG